AGAAACAAAACCTCCTCCTCCTAACATCTCTTTTGTCGTAGGTAGGTTTGGATTCACCCATTATAAGCTATCTGGCTTCACGTATGCTAAGCCATCCTGGGTTTAGAGAATGCGTAAGAGCCAAGGAAGCAACTTCATGTAACAGATTAACAGAGTTGGAAGGGACCTTATAGGTCATCTAGTCCAACCTCCCGCTCAAGCAGGAGACCCTACACCATTTCTGACAGATGGCAGTCCAATCTCTTCTTGAAAACTTCCAGTGACGAAACTTCCACAACTTCCAAAGGAAACTTCTGTTCCAGTGGTTGACTGTTCTCACTGTCCTTATTTCTAGGTTGAATCTCTTCTTGTTCAGTTTCCATCCATTATTCCTTGCCTGGCCTTCGGGTGCTTTGGAAAATAGTTTGATCCCCCTCCCCTCTGTGGCAGCCACCCAAATATTGGAAGACTGCTATCCCGTCTCCCCTGGTCCTTCTTTTCACTAGACTAGCCACACCCAGCTCCTGCAACCCTTCATTGTATGTTTTAGCTTTTAGTCGCCTCATCATCTTGGTTACTCATCCCTGCACTTTTTCTAAAGTCTCCACATCTTTTTTTATAGTGTGGTGACGTAGGCCTATCTATAGCCTATTATGCAAACATGTCTTTTCCTCCACAACGTTCATGATAGGTTCCAGAGAGCATTCTCAACTTACTCTTTGCAGCTGGGCTGAGAGCCAAGGATCATTGTGACTCGGCAAATATTGGAAATTTTGTTATTCCCACCACCACCCCCTCACATGCAAAGGAATACGATGCTGCAGCACCCGTCAATAATTCTTGGGAGTCCTACTAAGTAGGCAGGTTTTCTAGCCATTCAGAGATGCATTTTAAGGGGAGAATCATTGTTAAGATGGCATATGCTTCAACTCTAAGGAGCAGCCTGGTTTAAGATGATCCTGTGCAGCTGGTACATCAATCACGCGTGCACACATGACTCAGTTGTTCCCTAAGGTACAAGGTGAAGAGCCAACATCTAAAAATCCTTCCGTGACATCAGCTTTCAATTGTGGCTGCATGTTCTGTTCTGCATGTTCTGTTCTTCTGCTGTGGCTGAACTCCTAAAACATCATAATGACAAATCATAGGTAGACAAGCTATAAAACAGGGTTTACGATCCCAGTGCAATGTTAGATAATATGCAATGTTAAAAATATGGCGTGATATGTTGAAATGAATTTGGAGAAGGCTGAAAAGGGACACTTTGGTTGTGTTTTAATCCTTATGGTAAACAGTTGTGTTCAGCAGTGGGATTCAAAAAAAATTACTACCGGTTCTGTGGGCATGGCTTGGTGGGTGTAGCATGGCTTGGTGGGCATGGCAGGGGAGGGATATTACAAAATCCCCATTCCCACCCCACTCCAAGGGAAGGATACTGTAAAATCTCCATTCCCTCCCCACTCCAGGGAAGGATACTGCAAAATCCCCATACCCTCCCCACTCCAGGGGAAGGATACTGTAAAATCTCCATTCCCTCCCCACTCCAGGGGAAGGATACTGCAAAATCCCCATTCCCACCCCACTCCAGGGGAAGGATACTGTAAAATCTCCATTCCCTCCCCACTCCAGGGGAAGGATACTGCAAAATCCCCATTCCCACC